AAGGGGGTCTTTTTAAGGTAGACTTACTTTAACCTAATTCTTAGTTTTTCAAAAATTTTTTAAAGCTTCTCACGTCGTTATAATTTACAGCTTTGCAGTGCAGGGCAACTAGATATTCTTCTAAGTAGATAGTAAAGCTGAGGGGAATATAAAGTGACTGTTCAACTTGTAATATATTAAGAAGTGTGTTCCTGCGAGGCTTTAGAGACTAAATCCTTAAGGGATTGTAGGCTCTTTTAGGTACAAAAGATTGTAGTTAGAAAACATAATAATAATATCCTGTCTAAGGGAAACATTCAACAATGCTACATAGTAGCAAAAGGAAAAACAAAGTGAAGTCCTAAAGCAGAGAACTTAAAGCGACAGGATAAAACTAACTAAACAAGTAATGGAATGCAAACAAGATAAAACAAGTGGTTGCTACTAATTTACTAATCTAGTAGTAACAGTAGTGCTAGGAAATACTCAAGTGGGTAACAGTATAACAAAGGTACAAGTAATCGAACAAGGAAATCATAACCATCTAGGCGAGCCTAAGCATAAAGGAAACATATGCACTACTAGGTAAAGTCCTAAGTAGGCAAGAACTATCAAGCTAGTTACAGTAGTAAGAAATAACAGGATTCCATTACACGAACTCACATGCGCAGTATGACGTTCCTATTCCGAGAAAACCCTCTCCTCATCCTCCATTCGATCTCCCACATCTTGACTCGCGCGATCCACGACGACACAATCTTCGTTGACAGCTACACATCCACTGAGCCCTTCTTCTTCGCGATGAACACTGGGGGGTCAGAGGATGCGGGCGATGAAGGTGCACTGGAAGCCGGAATGGCTCAAACGGCCAGTCTTCCGCAGGTCCGTCTGGAACGTTACTGGTTGGGTGAAGTCGAAGACCGAACCCACGACCTACGCGACTCACCGCCCCTACGTCGATTACCTGGGAAAAAACACGGGCTTTAAAGACAAGTTGACGACCTATTGCTTCCGCTGAGGTACGGCAAACGGGATCGACGGTATGTGTCTTATCTAACTCTCATTGACTTCTCGATGCTAATGTTCTTTTAAATATTACATCGGATGCGGCGCGCGATAAAGTCATGAGACATGATCCTTTCACTAGAGTCTTCAATGGTGCGTATATTAATCACACAGTCCGATTCAATGTACGGTACAAGATGCCTTCCTCGAGCGTGACATCTCTGTTGATGGACTCACCCGCTCACCCGGGAGGTCTCTCACCTTCAAAATTGCCGGTTCTATTCACCGATGTTTCGCTCCTACATAAGAAGCGCGATGTGAGACAGGGTCGCTGGGTTTGGTTGTGGTCTTATCGCAGCCCGCCCAACAAATCAGACAGCCGCATCTTATCATTGATTCCTCGCAAGTGAACCGGTCTAAACGGTTGATGATCCGATTGCCTCATGCTTTCTCTTTTGAGCCGCCAGCAGGTGCTTCGCTGGCAAAGTCATAAGTGTCGTCCGGGATCTGGATGGTTGGTCCTTCTCTGCTGAGCAAATAGTTGCACAGTGAAAATGACAAATCGAGATTATGGTTGACTCGTACTTAGTGCCTGTATGGTGGCTTGCAGCTGAGCGGCTATCAATGTACTATCGAGGTTAAGCACCAGTGTGCGTTCTTATTGTTTTGCTTTTTATAAGCTGTGAGCACACATCTAAGGAGGGGGGTTAAGCACAACTGTGCGTTCTTATGGTGGTCACTCATCTAAGTGCTCAGAAGTGATTTTGATGCTGGTTGCCGTGGCGATATAAGAACACACGCTGGTGCTTAACCTCGATACTGCCTGGCACAATCGAAACAATATAAACTGGTGGCCTTTTTCCATTCAGTGAAACTCGTTTCTTTGGTGTATTCCCAATATGTCTTCAGGATCCAGCGATACTTCGATATCTTGCGGGTATGATATCCCTATTGAGAGCTTGAATTATCCATTCAACTGCTACTGCAATGCCACAATTCATGCCGACCCTGATATTGCCGGTCCAGGGGTATGATTTCAACCTGAGATAGTTGACAATTACTGACACGCGCAGGTGATGACA